ACTTCAGTGGGGTGGGGAGGAGTTGTGAGGATTCAATGGAGTTCGGGCACTGGGGTACCCTGCAGGGGAGTGGGCTACACAGGCAGTGGCCCAGTGGGACCCAGTTGGGACTGCCCAGGAAGAAGGGGTTCTGCTGCCTTTCCTAGGACCAAGCAGCAGAGCAGCTTCCCCATCCTCCGCCCTGGGCATTTCCCTACCTAAATCCCCCTGCTCCCAGTCACAGGAGGGGTTGGAGGTTCCTGCCTGGCCTGGCATGGGCCCCAGTGCACAGGCAGAACCTTACTGGGCTCAGCCATGGGGCAGGAGTGGGTCAGGGCACACAGATCCAGCTGCCTCCCTGTTGGGGCTGCCCTGCCGCCCGCATGCAACTACCAGCGGCAAAAGCCACGGCTCGTGTCTGGCTACCATGCACCTGCTCACTCTGAGCCCCACCTGCCCCAACCCCACAACACAGGGATGACTGCAAGTAGTCCCAACCCTGCGCGCCCTGCACTTGCCCATCCAGGCTGAGCAGTGGCGGCGGCGGGAAACAAGCTGGGGCAGGGAGGCACGAACAGCTCCATGGTCCCAGGGCCGGAGTCCCTGCTAGCTAGAGGCTTCTGGCTGGGGGGTGGGGCCAGGCCAAGTGGGCCCTGCTATTGCAGGAGCCTGCTGGGGCTTCTCCTGGGTCCTATTGCCCCTGGCTGCTGTCACCTTTGACAGACAGCTGCAGCAGATAAAGATTAATTTTCTAAATTATTCAAGGGCCCCGTGGGCCGGATAGAATGGCCTGGCAGGCCATATCTGGCCTACGGGTTGCATTCTGCCCACCCTTGGTCTAGCTCCCTCCTTTCTGGAACCATCCCTGAGACCCATATTTAAAGCACCAAGCATTGGTGTGTTGAAAAGGTAGTGGAGGTTGGAGGGGAAAAAAATCTCATGTTGAACAACGCAGAACTTTCAACATGTACAAAAATTCCTTCCAAAAGCACTAGTCCTAATATCAGGGATTTAATCTTTTGCATTCAAAGCTCTGAGAATTACCTATTTTAACTCTAAACATGTACAAAGTAGAGCATAAACACTTCATAGCTGAACAAAAATCTTTTGGGTTCCCTCCCCCACCCCCAACATGATTAAATTAGTTCCCTGCTCTCATGTGATCCAAAATATTTTAGCTCAGAGCTAAAGCTAAAACTATACCAATCAACTTCCTTGAATGAAAGTAGTTCCTCATCCATAACTTTCCAAATATTGCTTCTACTAAGCTGTGCTTTCAAGTATATATAGTTAAGCACTATCATCTCGAAATGCTTGTATATGTATGCTAACTTGGGTAAAACAACTACAGTTCTTTGCACACCTTACGGATGCTTTTCTTGACACTCTCCCAGTGGTCAATGGCAAGATCATCGGGGAGGCTGGAGAGTTCATCAATGAGGTACTGCTGAAGACAACTGCTTTTAACAGTCTTTCAAGCACTCGATATTGAGCCCCTTCCTTGGTGGCTTCTTCTGTTTACATCATTTTGGGGCAATACAAATGGACATGACAGAACATATATGTTACTTATCACAGAATCATAGAAATTAAGGGCTGGAAGGGACCTAGAAAGACCATCAGGTCCAATCCCCCTGCTCTGGGCAGGAATACTGCTGAGATCAAATGATCCCAGCAGGGTGTCTCCCCAGTCTCCCTTCGAACACTTCTGAGGATGGGGACTGCATCTCCTCCTTAAGGAAGCCTGTTCCAGATTCTGGTCACCCTTACCGTAAGGAAGTTTTTCCTTACATCCAACCCGAAACCATCCTCTAACAGCTTATAACCATTGTTCCTTGTCCTCCCCTGGGGCACCCTAGTGAAGTTTCTCTCCTGGCTCCTGATATTACATACTTTTAGATGGCCACCAAGTCCCCCCCTCAGTTTCCTCCTCTCCAGGATGAACAGACCTAGATAATTTCATCTCTCCTTATATGGTATCCTCCAGGCCCTTAATTATTCTTGTGGCCTTTCTCTGGACCCTTTCAAGATTCTCCACATCTTTTTTGAAGTGTAGTGCCCAGAATTTGACATAGTACGCCACCTGGGGTCATCTATCATATATATGATATGATCCCAAGGAAAGTACTATATATAATAATGAAATACCATATTTTTCTCACATACAACATACATTCCTTTTCCAAACACCAGATGCTGCAAAATGGGGTGCACATTATATAATAACTACAGCTTCTGTGACTTCTACTTCTGGGGGGTTAAAGGAAAGTGTCCTGTATCT